GAACAGATAGTGATCGCTCTTAAGAGATAACCACTGACTAGGAGCATGTCTATTGTGCTGATTTGGATCAGTCAATTAACTTAAGTTGCATGTTTTTGGATGGTGGGAGGAAAGCGGGGTACCCCCGTGAGCACGGGGAGAACGTGTAAACTCTGCACAGAAACGTCAGCTGGCTTGGTAAAAACTAGAACCAGTGATGTTCTTGCTGTGAGGCAACAGTGCCAACCACTGGGCCACCGTGCCACCCATCTAGGAAAGTAGGACGAGTAGGGGTGGAAGGGGGGATTTGTTAAAATGAAGGGTATTTTATAGTGGCTCAGAAATCATCTGGTTAGATAGGCCGGCTGCAAGCAATCATAAGCACATGATCCTCTCGAAATTAGTTTATAAATAAACTTCACTTATTGAACTTTAATGCATTAATTAATGTTAACTCATTAACCTTATTTTTTTCGTGTTAACCCATGTCCATGAAATATTAACACATATGTTTTATTTTTAACAATGTGTCAGCAAACATTGAGCTTATCATCATCAAACATTAACTACTGAGCAAATTGTTTCAGAATTTAGCGTGTTTTTTTTTTAAAGCAACATTTATTTTTGATTTCATATAACATTATCAGATGCAACTTTTCATTTTAATAATGTAATAGTAAATGTTGAAAAAAGGACTTCTTGATTCTGGTTAAGAAATAAAACCTTTGTTAAAAACATTACTTTTTACATTATTGTTTTTTCCTATTTAAATTGTAGTTTTTTGTTGTGCTTATTACAGTATATACACTAATGGTCAAAATTTTGGGGTCAGTTTTTTTTTAAGTGATTATGTTCATCAAAGCGGCATTTTTAACTTGTTACATTTTAACTTGGCGCTAAAGAACCAATGAGGTTTATTCTTGCAAATCACATGGAATGCCGAACAATAGCCAGAACCAATAAAGTTTGTTGATTTCTCTCATCTAAAACAGGTAGAGCTGATTGCTGATAAAATTTTAGCGGGTAAATTTAGCTCAGCTTAATGTAACATTAACTGATTAACGTTTAATACATTCCGAAATTAGCAGAATAATTAGACAATAATGCGTAAGAAGTGTTTTCGTTGACCTAATTGTTGACTTATTATACAGTAGTTGGTTATCAAAACAGTCAACGAAAGTTAGCTGGTGTTTTTAGGTCGGTTGCTTAATATTTTTGCCGTGTTTAATGTCCTTAAATGTTACTGATTTTGCATTGATTAAATGTAAAAAATGTTTTTTTAAATTGTTAAATTTTTATAAAAATAAATAATTTCAAGCAGTAACTTAAAATAAATAACTGCTTTCTTATTGTATGTAGTTTCAAATTAAATTATTACTCCAGTGATTACAGCTTTTATTACTATTACCATTAGTATTAATAATAATGACATAAATAAATATTAATATTAGTGATTTCTGAAGGGTCATGTGACTCTGGGGCAATGAAGCTGAAAAATCGCTGGAATAAATTATTAAATTAAATTATAAACCAATTATAATTATAGTTATTTTATAGTGCTATAACATTTCACAATTTTACAATTTAGACTGTATTTTTGATGAAATAAATGCAGCTTTGGTGAGCAGGAGAAGCTTATTTTAAAACATTTAAAAATCCTACTGACCCCAAACTTTTGTCCGCTGGTGTATGTATTTTAAATAGTCAGATTTATACAATTTGATTTCCCTTTGAGTTGTTTTAATATAAACAAGTTGATAGTTAGAGGTTGCTTTGGCAACTGGCTAAAATAAAAACGAGTTCATTTCAGTTATTGTACTTCAAGTATTATGTGTGTTCACTGCAAACATCAAAACTGCTGTTCTTATTTAGAGTTTTTGTCTCCTTTCTTGTCCAAATATCTAAAAATTCTTCAGTCAAGAAGCATTTCATAGACACATATATAATGTATTTTGTTTTCAGAAATAAGAAGTCTTTTACCTTTAAAAAAAAAAAGCTAAATGGGGTGGCATGGTGGCTCAGTGGTTAGAACTGTGTCCTCAAAGCAAATAGGTCGCTGGTTTGAGCCTTGTGCATGTTCTCCCTATGTTGGCGTAGGTTTCCTCCGGGTACTCCGGTTTCCCCCACAGTCCAAACACATACGCTATAGGTGAATTAATTAACTAAATTGACCGTAGTGTACAAGTGTGTGTGTGTGTGTGTGTGTGAATGAGTGTGTATGGGTGTGTCCCAGTACTGGAGTGTGGCTGAAAGGGCATCCGCTGCGCAAAACATATGCTGGAATAGTTGGTGGTTAAATGCCACATCTCATTAAAGGTGTGTGTTGAGGAATTTAACGACAGTAGCCGCCACATTACTGCTGTTTATTGACGCCGTGCTATTTCACTTCTTTTCTTTCAGTATATGCTCCACTTATATTGGCATGAATTTTAGTTGCTCAACATCAAGTATTTTTCCGTCTTAATGCCACCTAAACAATGCAACCTTTGTGAACTTGTGAGAACGTGTGTAAACGACTGTTTCAGTCACCAACTTCTCTTCTGTGGTGACTGCAGTGAACCCAAAGATAATAGTAGCTACTCTGCCAAGATGTAAACTTTCACTTCGCCGACACCTATTTACTCCAGCCATATAAAATGCTTACGTTTTATGACCCTCCTGTAACTCAAATTACACAATGTAATCTGGCAGACGGTAGGAAGGTTGCTGGTTTAAGCCTCGGCTGGGCCAGTTGTAATTTCTGTGTGGAGTTTGCGTGTTCTCCCCATGTTGGTGTGGGTTTCCTCCGGGTGCTCGCAGTCCAAAGACATGCGCTGTAGGTGAATACACTAAATTGGCCATTCTGTATGTGTGCAATTGGGTGTTTCCCAGGACTAAGTTGCAGCTGGAAGGGCATCCACTGTGTAAAACATATGCTGGAATAGTTGATGGTTCATTCCGCTGTGGCGACCCCTAATAAATAAAGAGACTAAGCTGAAAGAAAGTGAATGAATGAATAAAAAAGCTAAATAATCTGCTAGTAGTTCAGCGGTTCCCAACAGGGGGGTCACCGCCCACAAGGGGGCCTCAGCGTCATATTTAAAAAAAATCTTAGCAGTGGACAATTAGGAGAATGGTCATGTTGACTTAGTTAATTTTATCCCTTACCTCAGTGGTTCTCAACCACCGGTCCATGGATCAATTGGTACCGGGCTGCACAATAAGGGCGTACTCACACTATGTACAGTTGCCTTAAACCGGGCTGAAGCACGCTTGACCCCCCTCCTGTCTCCCCCAACGGCCTGCACTCGCATTACATTCGGGCCTGAGCACGCTTACGTCATCGATGATGCGCTGTTCAGTAAGTGCTCTCGCTCAACACAGTGGAGATTTCTTTAGTTATATCGTTTTAGATGCGGTAACACGCAGTCAGATATTTCACTGAACAGATCCGCCACTTTTGACGCTCCTAAACAATCATAATGTTCTCGTGCTGCAGGAATGAGGAGGTCTGCTGAAGGTGCAGCTGTTGTGCAGTGAGGGGTATGTGTCTTTAATAATCTTCCACAGTTTGCGTTCATTGAACATTAAGAATGATTAATTAATCCATATGAAACTGGCTTAGGCACGTTTTGCACTCATACACAAGTGTACCGCGCCAAAAGCCCAAGTGAACCGCGCTCAGGCACACCTCTTCCAACCGCGCCAGGGCCGGCCAAGTGAACCAGGCCTGAGCTCAATTCAGCGCAATCACACTTCTCAAACAATCCGAGAAATGGGCCTGGGCACGGTTCGGATAGCATAGTGTGAGTGCGCCCTAAATCATTAATTATTTTCGTTTTATTTATTATGAACATCTGAACGATCTTTTATTTTGAAAAATGACCTTATTTTCTCGCTTGAATCTCGGTCACTTGAGCACCCAATTTTAACCCACAAGCAGCAAAATGAGTAAGAAACAGGCGTCTTTAGCAGAGGACCCATGAACTGCCAAGGAATAGATCCGCAACACACTTGTCAACGAATCAGGTGAATCCACCATGGCTGTGCAAGAAGATCAACTGGTAGACATTGCAAATTATGGCGGCCTTTTAAGGCTGATTTATACTTCTGCGTCAAACGCACGCGTATGCTACGACGCTGACGCATAGCCCTTCGTCGTGGCCGTAGGTGTCGCTGACGTAAACCTCTTAAAAAATATAACTACACGTCGCAACGACGCGTAGCGCAAGCTCTGTGATTGGTCGGCTTGGCTTGCGAGGCGAATCAGTGTGACTCCGTCTTTTTTGTGGAGGATGGATTACAAATTTGTCCATTTTTGGTCAGCCAGGGCAGTGCTCCTCAACCTGTTTATTAATCTGGGGTCGCCACAGCAGAATGAACCGCCAACTTATCCAGCACATGTTTTACACAGCGGATGCCCTTCCAGCTGCAACCCATCTCTGGGAAACATTAGGCTATTATGTGTGCATAAACATATCTGGATATAGTAATAAACACACCGTTTGTTTGAAAACAACATCTTTTTTGTCATCATTACTGCAAACTTATATGAGCGATTGCATCATTAAATGTGGAGGGGGGCCTTACAATATTTTCCGGGGAAAAAGGGGGTCTCAGGCAAAAAAAGGCTGGGAACCACTGTAGTAGTTGACATATTATTTCTGAAATAATACTATATTTTTTGCTTGCCTAAAAATGCTTCTTAATTTCCAAATTTTTTAGATTTTTGTCCTAAAAACAAGACAAAAACGGTAAAGAAAATCTTTTTTGCAGTGTTTTCAGTGAGCTATAAAATATATGTTTGTGATGTTTAGTGTAAAGCCATGCAGATCATCACACACACACACACACACACACACAGTCAGCGGATCTGAAAAGCTACAGTCGAGCGTCTGGTAAAAAATTCACCCCAGAGCATCAAGATTAAAGTACAAACACGTAAAAATGCTTCCACAGACATTCACCAGTGCGCCGAGTTCGACTCCGAAACGTTGCATAATTGTACAGTAGAGTCTGTGCTGTAGATTGGCCGTGATGTATGTGTGTGTGTGTAGATTCTCCATCATGTGTGTGCGCTGAGGATGAACTGATTTTTGCTCTCGTCTACTTCTCGGCTCTGGAAGGTCGAATGCGTTCGCTCTAAATCCAGCACGACATCCAGCAGACGAGTGGCGAGGACACGAGAGCGTTCACAGCGAGCCTGTTCACACACTGACACACACACAGCAGAAAGATGATTTACGTTATCATTCATCTCTCAGATCTACAGGTGAACACGTGTGAAGGATCTGACCTGATGAAGGCTGACCCACTTCCTGTTCTGCTGACTCCACTTCCTGTGTTTCCAGGTACTGCTCCCTGTGTCACAAACATAGATATATACATTAGATGTCGCCTGGCTTATTGTTGTCTATTGGACGGAATGCGTCAATAGCGCCGCCATCTTGGTACAGGGTAGCGCTCCTTAGAAATGAATGCGGGACAAAGGTACAGTGGAGGACTGTGGCCATCCATAGCCAGAGATATACACATATACACATATATCTATAATCGGGAGTTTTCCTGGATGTTAATATGTTTTTTTTTTTTTCTAATTATGAAAATTATAATTTTACTTCTCTGTGTTTGTTTGTACAGAAATGTACTTTTCACCCTCCCTGTTAAATTTGATCTAATCATGTCCTGAAACACAGCTCCTCTCCTGCTTTTACTCCTCATACTGACCAAGGGAGCGACTCATTTGTGAATGAATCTCCCGAACGACTCCTTCACTAGCCGACAATAATACAAGTTTCTGGCAGCGCAGCATCTCTTTGTCATATTTCTTTTGCATTGTTTGCTGATTTTATTCAACAAAACCAGCATAAGCCGAGTGTTTAGTATGTTCTGCCTCTGTTCCTTTTTTTCTTTGTTTGCTCGTTACTACACCCGTAGACAGCGCTAAAGTCCCGCATCTTCACGTAATAACACTGTCTTGACTAGAGCAGTTGAATGACATTTGTCCTGGGAGCCCTGTACCAATGTGGCGGCGCTATTGACGCATGCTGAGGGTCCCTATCCGATATCTAGTGTGTATATCTATGTGTCACAAAGAGTAGTTATTGTTCATACTGTAAATTAATAATTAACATGGGATCTTTTATTGTAATAATCCCTCCCATAATCCGGCAAACCACAGATTATTTACTTGAAGTAAAACACAAAAATATTTACATTTAGTCATTTAGCAGACGTTTTTATCCAAAGCGACTTACAAATGAGGACAAGGAAGCAATTTACACAACTATAAGAGCAACAATGAAGAAGTGCTGTAGGCAAGTTTCAGGTATGTAAAGTGTAAGAAGCAAAACATTAGTAATTTATTTATTTATTTTTTATTTTTTGTAATACGTTTAGCGGTTAGCGGTTGAACCAGAGGCAATTGCTAAATAGTTTAGTTTTTAGTGGTTTCTTGAAGACAGCAAGTGACTCTGCCGTTCTGATGCAGTTAGGGAGTTCATTCCACCAACTGGGCAGATTGAATGCGAGAGTTCGGGAAAGTGATTTCTTCCCTCTTTGGGATGGAACCACGAGGCGACGTTCATTCACAGAACGCAAGTTTCTGGAGGGCACATACATCTGCAGAAGTGAGAGCAGATAAGAAGGAGCAAAGCCAGAAGTCACTTTGTAAGCAAACATCAGAGCTTTGAATTTGATGCGAGCAGCAACTGGCAGCCAGTGCAAACGGATGAGCAGCGGAGTGACATGTGCTCTTTTAGGTTCATTAAAGACCACTCGTGCTGCTGCGTTCTGAAGCATCTGATAGAGTTAGCTGGAAGCCCGGCTAGTAGAGAGTTGCAATAGTCCAGTCTGGAGAGAACAAGAGCTTGAACAAGGAGTTGAGCTGCATGTTCAGATAGGAAGGGTCGAACCTTTCTGATGGTATAGAGTGCGAATCTGCAAGATCGAGAGAAATGTGGTCAGAGAAGTTTAGATGGTCATCAATTGTTACTTCAAGGCTTTTCACCATTTTGGATGCAGTATTGGTTGCCCCATACATCTGGATTGAAAAGTTATGATGTAGAGTCGGGTTGGCAGAAACTACAAGCATTTCCGTTTTCGTGAGGTTAAGCTGAAGATGATGATCTTTCATCCAGTGTGAAATATCCAACAGGCAGGCTGAGATGCGAGCCGGAACCGAGGGATCATCAGGGTGAAAAGAGAGGTATAGCTGGGTATCATCAGCATAGCAGTGGTAGGAGAATCCATGTTTCATGATGACTGATAATGAAAATATCATTAAAGGGGTGGTCCAGAGTATATTTTAAGGCTTGGTTGTGTTTATAAGACGCAAAGCAATGTGTGCTCATGCTTCACTGAAAACCACATTCGTTTTTCATAAATCTTTCTTTGATTATATACAGCTATTCAGCTAACATGAAAACCACTGTCATGTTTCCTAGTTCCTCTGAAAGGCCCGCCCTCAAGAGGCTCTGATTGGTCAGCTAACATAGTGCTGTGATTCCCGGTAAAGTCAAAATCAGATATGCGGCTGGGCGGAAGTGCGATTTGCACATTAATATAGCAGCATTTTTTTATGACTAAGTATAACGGTAATTAATATTTTTACAGTACTGTGAAGGTTGGGTTCAGGGTTGTTGGGGAAGTAGGCCAGGGCTATTCAATTAGTTTGCCATGGGGGCCGATTCATAAAAAGCATCCCAAACGAAGAGCCAAAGAGACATATGAATTAGGCCCCGTTTACACTAGTGCATTTTTGTTTTAAAACGCATACATTTTGCTACAGTTACACCATCCGTCCACATTACGCTGGAGTTTTCGAGTGCTGAAAACAGGCAGGGCTGCCGACATTCGCCCTAATGATTGGGGCTTTTCCTCAATATTAAGTAGCCTAATGTTACACACAGTTCAGTCCAGGATCCTCTTCTTGTAAGTTCAGACTTGGCAAGTTTGATCAAGGCTGCAGTCTCTCTCTCCTCAGTTTGATATGGTAAACAGACTACCGAGGACACGGGTAAATCTTCGAAGGGAACAGTGTACTTTATAACTTCATTCACATCACCCTGGCTACGTTGTTTCACTTTCTCAACAATAAAATGAAAACATGATTTAAGGAACTGCCTATTTTCATTTTGATATTAGCAACTTTACAGACAGCAGAAATGTTGAGGCGTCGTGCTGCATATATGAGCGTCATCTTCACTGTGTGGATATTTATAACAAAACGTAGCCTATAACATCACCGCCTCCTTTCAATTTCAGTGAAAATACGAAACATACCCTCTCTTATGCTGAATATCAGTTTTAATAATCAATATTGGCCATTATGAAAGTATAACGCACAATAAGTTTATACATTATAGGAAATAAAGGCAAGCAATCAGTCAATATACAGAATGTACGTGGTTAGATTAATTATCAACCTATTTTTACGCTTAGCCAAAACACGTTACCTGAGAACAAGTAATAGATTCCAATGACCAAAGTCAGGGAATATGTCGTTAGATAAAGACAACAAGATGAATGAAATATCACGTTTAATAAATATAGTGAGATTAGATTCAGCGGGAGATCCTTGATGAACACTCCGACTAGCACAGCTCTCATCTGGGTAGATAGGCTGCAGCGCTTTCCAGAGAGAGAGTGTGTGTGTGTGGTCAAGTGATGTGCGTTTCAGCGTTTTGGTGTAGATGGAGAGCTGTTCGGAAACGCTAGTGTGGACGCGGATCCTTTTCATTCTAAAACGCCGTTTTGAAACTAAAACGTACTAGTGTAAACGGGGCCTTAGTCTTAATGTAGAAGAAGTCTACTGAAGCAATGCACTGCTTTTGTTGAGCTCTGAAATACAACATTTAAATGTTTGTAGAAAAAAAAAGTCTTATTGTACAATGCACTGGTTTTATATAGTTTTAAATTAACATTTTAATGTAGAAAAAGCTACTGTGGGTGTCTTACGGAGCAAAAATACAGTGCTCTTATATGCGATTGTGTCATCACTTATATAGCAAAATTGCTCATTTTATAACAATTAAAATTAGATTTTATTGACAATTAGTATTTCTTTATCTACTACATCTCATCACTGTAATGTGAAATAAGCATAACATTAACCCGGAATGGGTGTTGTTTAATAGTTTTAGGACTGTGACTTAAAGTGACTTAAGTTGCATTGGATAAATATATAGTTCAAAAACAGTAGTATTTACTATTCATTCATTCATAGGGCGAGGCAGTGGCGCAGTGGGTAGCATGTTCGCCTCACAGCAAGAAGGTCGCTGGGTCGCTGGTTCGAGCCTCGGCTCAGTTGGTGTTTCTGTGTGGAGTTTGCATGTTCTCCCTGCGTTCGCGTGGGTTTCCTCCGGGTGCTCCAGTTTCCCCCATAGTCCAAAGACATGCGGTACAGGTGAATTGGGTTGGCTAAATTGTCCGTGGTGTATGAATGTGTGTGTGTGTGGATGTTTCCCAGCAATGGGTTGCAGCTGGAAGGGCATCCGCTGCGTAAAAACTTGCTGGATAAGTTGGCGGTTCATTCTGCTATGGCGACCACAGATTAATGAAGGGACTAAGCCGACAAGAAAATTAATGAATGAATAATTCATCCATTTGTTTTCCTTTGACTTAGTCCCGGATTTGTAAGGGGTCTCCACAGTGGAATGAACCGCCAACTATTCCAGCATATGTTTTATGCAGCGGATGCCCTTCTAGCTGCAACCCAGTACTGGAAAACACCCATAAACTATCGCACACTACGGCCTATTTAGTTCATCAATTCCCTTATAGCGCATGTGTTTGGACTGTGGAGCACCCGGAGGAAACCCATGCCAACATGGGGAGAACATGCAAACTCCACACAAAAATAACAACTAGCCCAGCCGGGACTCAAACTAGCGACCTTCTTGCTGTGAGGCCACAGTGCTAACACCTGAGCAGCCTTTACTATAAATTACTATAGTATTTTCATCATGATGGCTCACACAATAATAGACAATACACAAAAAAAATACTTCAAAATTTTCTCTAAAACTTTTGATTTTTCAATGTATAAATAGTTTTTCTTGCACTGAAGGAGTACATCTCAGTATAAAGTGAATGACTGGCCTCAGATCAGTCTGAGTGAATACAGCAGCGCCTCCTGCTGGACGTCTTCAGCATCACACACACCTGAGTTTGTCTCGGCCCTGCAGCAGCTCTTTATAGATGATCTGAGCTTCAGCGTCAGGATCTAACGGGTCGCTCCAGTCGCCCAGAGTCACAGCAGAATGAGTGCGACTGCAGCCCGACGCTGAAACAAACACACACACACAAACTTCACAACAGCACAGCACTCATATACATGCACTGAAAAAAAAACTTAATGGATTTTCTCCTTTTTTTCAGGTGCTATAAGTGTTTGCAAGCAATTTATTTGGGCTGAATTTGAACAAATTAAATGTACTAATGTTCAACTTAATTTGTTTGTTTAAATTCAGCTCATATAAATTGTTTGCAACCACTCACCTCAAAAACATTAGTAAATCCAATGAATATTTTTTTCAGTGTGGGTTAAAGCAAAAAACAATTATAAAGTGAGAGATGCAGTGTTGCCAGATATTAGCAAAACTTGCACTGAAGAATGCACTAACATAAGTTCAAACCCTGGATTTTTGCACACAAATGTGTTCAGCGACTTGATAAAATGCGTGTAAAGTTAATTTAAGGACCCTGGAATTGACAGAAATCCATTCTAGACTTTGCGTTTTAACGACAAAGGAATTAAAATTGAATCCATACATATATGACATTAGTTTTACAACAACAAACATCCATGCAAAAACATTGCAGTATAGCCTACTGTCATCTCTGAGGTCACTGTACTGTACATCTGCTTTAAAAGCTGCTGCTGAATGCTTGATTCCGATTGGCTGATGAGCATTCTAAGATGTGCCGTTATTTTCAGATTAATGCACAGCTAAAGTAGTTCCAGCAGGTTTTGAGCGCATTACAACTTACACTACACCAAACACTTTAAAGTGCTGATGAGCACTTTAAAGTGTTTGGTTATTGTCAGGTAAACAGCACAGCTAAAGTAGTTCCGGCAGGTTTTGAGCGCATTACAGCTCTATATCACTACGGTGAGTGATTTTGAGGTTTTTCACCAATAGTATCTGGATGCAGTCTTTATGATGCAAGCTGAGACTGCATCACTCAGCGATGCAATGTCAGACACAATGCACTCAAATGGAGCTAGCGACGGGTAGGGTTAGGGGTGGGGTTAGGTGAGCCCATTAAAAAGCATTGGATGCAGCCCAGATTGCTATGCACCAGGGGCCTGTTTCAGTAAGGAGGTTCAAACAACTCCGAGTTTAAACTTGAACTCTGAGTTGATTTACCGAGAGATTAAAAACTCTGAGTTTTCGGTTTCAGAACAGCTGATCTGAGTTGGGTCAATCAACTTCGAGTAGACCAACTCGGAGTTAAGCGCGCACACCGTGACTTTAAAAAGGCATTATCAATGGAGCGCAGACATTACGAGTGACTATGGCAATATCTTATAAAAGAGATCAGCATTTCTTTCTCCAGCTGAACTTGATGTTCTCATGCAAAGTTATAGCAAATTTGAGTGTATATATTTGAAAAGAAGCAACCATCAGTAAAGAGAAGACACAGTTAGCGTGGGAAAACAGCTGCTCAAGTTAATGCCTAATTTCACTTTTTAAGTATTTAAATATTTAAGTATAATAAAATGAGTAATGTAATTTGTGACGTTAATATTTTTTTTCTAAACTTTTTTATACATTTATTAGTTTTAAATGATTTAACAGTGCACTTGTGTGCCTGCCTTTTTTATTGATCAAGTGATAGAGGTTAATATAACATTTAGAAGGTAAGCAGTACTAAAAATAATTTTTAGAAAGAATAATAATCCCATTAATCTAGTTACAGTGCATGTCGAAGGTGAATTTAATTGAATTATTTATTAAAAAAGGATAAGCCATTCCCGTACAGTTCTTCTGTGTGTGACTAAAATGTAGGCAATAGCTATGTTTCCATCCAAATATATTACATAAATTTATGTGCAAAACTGGAATATTGCATAAAAGATGCGAATAAAATTCCATCCAACGAGTCAAAGAGAAAAAAATCGCCACTTTCTGATTAAACTGGCACCAAATATCAACAGTAAAAACAGAATTTACTGTGGTAGAAGAAGCTGCGTCAATTAATTCTTTATTTAGCCTAATTAATGCACTTGTGCCATTAAAATAGGTGGGTGGAAACGTAAGGCTAAGGCGAGAAATACCGCTTCATCTTTAAAAAAGGGGAGGAGACTGACAGAAACTCAGAGTTTAGAGAATAAAACCTGCTTCTGACCAGGTTAGATTCACAGAGTAAGTTACCACAGTAACTGACTCTGAGTTAAAGTTACCTCTCTTTCAGAAACAGGCTTGACTTACCCTGCTTTCTCGAGTTTAACAAACCTGCCATTTTGAAACGGAAAACCCAGAGTTTCTCTCATTTCAGGGTTAAAATACTCTGAGTTTTTACTTAACCTCCTTTCTGAAACAGGCCCCAGGTCTGCAGCCAGACCCCTCTCTATTTCACAGCAACGACAGTCAAATGCTCGATTCTGATTGGCTGATGAGCACTCTAAAGTATTTGGTTATTGTCAGGTAAAAAGCACAGCTAAAGTAGTTCCGGCAGGTTTTGAGCGCATTACAAATCCATGTCACTAGGGTGAATGATTTCAGTTATTTCACAGCGACAACAGTCAAAGATCACATCAAAACACAACAGAAGGCTTTAGAGGAGATGTGGGAAAAACTAGTCTTGCATAACGGAGCAGTTTGCATCTCAAATACAACATCTGAACAGGGAAGCAGCTTTGAATTATTAGAAACGAATATTTACCTGAGGTTAGGGCTGCACAATTTATCAAATTATTATGAGCGTGACAATAGTATATGCAATATACATATGACAGGCATGTGTAATCATTTATTTTATGCATTGGTTGTTTATATAAATTGGACCAATCAGATGGGGCTTTACTCTCTTTAGCCCTGCCTCTCCAATGGTTGATTTTGTGCTATTGGCTGGAACAGCTCAAAGGCAAACCTAGAGCTGAAAATAAACACTACTGGGCAGAATTGAGACGAGAGAGGAAAATGACAATAACCAATCAGAGTCAGAATATCTGCATATCAGGTTTTCACTCACTCATAGGGCTTTATTTTCACAATCTAGGCAAAAAGTGGCGCAAAAGCATTAAGGACGTGTCCAAATCCACCAAGTCCACTTTTGCTTTATTATGCTCTGCGCCTCGGCGCATGGTCTAACAGGGTTGTGCTTATTCTCTTAATGAGTTCTGGGTGTGTTTTGAGCATAACGTGCATTTAACCAATCAGAGTCTCATCTCACATTCCCTTTAATGCCTAGTTCACACTAAAGGATTTTGAGCCTGATTTGAGCCCGATTTGGAAGTTAACGAGCTCGCAGACAGATCGGGCTGTGATCGGGAAGAAATCTGCGGGTGCTCGGCGCTCGCCGCTCTTTATGTGTGAACTACTGAACAACGCATCAACGAGGCTCGCTGATGCGTCGCCGACACCTCGCAGACGGAAATCCAACATTCAGCATGCTAAATATTCCAGAGCAGTCGGCCGACTCAACCCCACGTGTGGTCAGATGTAGTGACGAGCTGCAGCCAATGAGAGAGCATATCAGCATGAGCTGAATGCCTGTGTGTTCAGGAGCTCAACAGAAACATCTGTGATTGGTCAGAATGGGCATCAAAGCACTGGCTTCATTCTGCGTTAGCACAGACATGAGAGTAGGCTATATAACAGTGGAACTAGAATTCTGTAACTATTAAAATTACCATACTGCTCATTCTGACGGTTCTCATATAAAACGCCATACTGTCACAACATATTTACATTCAAAGCTATTATTGAGATATTAAAATTAAGCTTTGAATGTCTGGCATCATATTTAATGACACCATTACCCTAAAAATATAATCTTTTTTTGGTAATACAGCCTATAAATATGTAGTTAAGATACTAAAACACTTAAAGGTCTTGGCTGTCGTTTTCACTTTCAAACAGGAGCTATTTCACGGCACAGATTCTGCTGTATTGAAAGATATCTGAGGTAAATTGATGTTTTTGCCATCAGAAAGTTTTGTTTATGTTAGCAGAAAATTGCTAGGCAAGAAAATGCACACAAATTTAAAGTCACAGTGAAAAGTATCAGACATGCATGCAGTCATTTTGACCAATATGGTAATTTAAGGCAGAAATGCTCAGTTCTTTACTGTTTTGTATTTAAAAAAAATAACAATGTCAGAAAGAAATACACTGATAGTTAGAAAGCGGCAGGGTGTTATAAATATGCTAGTTTTATTTCAAATAGTTATACAATTAAAAAAATTAAAAACTCTCTGTGTATCTATCCACTGGAACCTGCAGATGAGTGATTAATTCGCTGATGAATCCGCTGATTTGACGATGTTTTTAAATGCTTTCTCCAAAGCTTGAAACGCTGTCAGTGATGTAATCACACACACAAGCAGCCAATAGTGTTCAGCTTTTTCTGACGACTCCTCCCTCAAATTTTAATTGGCTGTGGTTTGGTAGCTTGAATGAGCTGATGGGGAATGAGTTGTTGTCAGATCATGTAGTGTGTGACCCCCCTCGTGTGGATCATTCACAGAGTGTTGCGTAGTGTGAACACCACAGAGATTAAAAGACACAAAGTCAAGTCATGTAGTGTGAACAGCACAGCGATCTGCTGATGTTTAAAATCCTGTAGTGTGAACTAGGCTTAAGAGTCAGTTGTGTCGCTCCATGGTGCATTTGCTATTTACATGGCTGACTTTGTGTAAAAACTGAACGCTTCACTAGCGAGAAAACGAGCCTCCTCCATTCAGCCTCTTTACTTTCTCTTCACTTTTACTCTTTACTCCTTTACTTTGGTGGAGTAAGGAGACATCCATCAGCCTACAGATTTAATTTAGTTTAGTTCAGTTCTAATCTCCAACAAAGGAATAAATAAACAATAATAATGAAGTGTGGTCAGAAAACTAAGTTATATCCAAACACACGTCCTGTTCTAATGCCCCATATGCTGATGCAGACGTCTCCAAAACCCCACAGGTTTTGAGAGAGCAGCATTCACTAGACTAGTGTGTTTGTGTGTGTGTGTGTGTGTGTGTGTACCTGCAGGCCAGCGGGAGGTTGAGAGAGAAGTTAAAAGCGCTCATTTTCAGTATATTAGGACTCAAGAAATGAAGGAAAAACTATTGATAATTTGGCAGGAGCACCCGTGTCTCTTTGACGTGTTATGTGAGCAATATCGCAACATGGGTCAAAAAAGAAAGTTAAGGAGAAATTGCTAATTCCCTTCAAACCCAGGTGAGCAAATATGTACATTTTCTACCCCATTAAAGGCTTCTTTCTCATTATGTAGTTAATAACAAAAGATATACGACGTGTTTTTGGCTGTGAGACGTAGTTTGAACGAAGTTGTCGGCGATTCTTCCTATTGTAAAGTCATGCAATGTGAAAGTCCCTGTTGCAGATCCATCTTGCAGTGTAAACAAAGCAGCGACGAAACGCTAGCCCAGATAGTCATGCAGTGTGAAAAGATCTGTGACACGACTACTTTGAAAATCATGCAATTCTAACTTGGTATTAGCTGTGTCTGCTCGTTTGCATTGTTTTCTAATTATTTAACAGGCTCTTGTCAGTTATTCCTTATTTCACGCATGCACACACACACACCTGCGCGGTCAGGCTGCAGGCAGCAGGTCCACTTGTTTCCTGGATGAGCTCCAGGGTGAAACGACGGCAGCATGTGTTCATTATAGATGCTGACCTTCCTGATGGCAGACAACCACTGATTCAGCTCATTCACATTCTGAAACACACACATGCACAAACATACACAAATGTTAACACTTTCACACACCATGGGCTAAAAAAATAAAGGTAAAGACATGTAATGTTACCACAGGACTCTTTGTTGAACACACATCTGCATGAAATGTGATTTATTCTCCCCCCTCATCTGTTCTGAGCCACTTATAGATATGGTGAAAAATCATACAGTATATGAGATCTGGAGCTGCTTCTAAACATGTAGAGTCTGATTCACCTAAGAGTTACCAGCAGATCTGCATTATTAATCATTGAAAGATCTCAATTCAGAAATCTACATGATCTTAATTCATGAATATGATTTATTAATGCTTTGATGATCAAATCTGCGTTTGACCCAGAGAGAGAGAAAGAGAGAGTGTGGGCTCTATTTTGACGGTCAAAACAATTTTCAAACGCTTTCAGGGCGTGTCAGAATGCATTTTTGCTAATTTAAGGATGGGAAAATGCGCTTTGCACCATGGCGCATGGTCTAAAAGGGTTGAGTTTATTTTCTTAATGAGTTATAGGTGTGTTTTGAGTATAAACCAATCAGAGTCTCATCTCCCATTCCCTTTAAGAGCCAGCCGCGTCGCGCCATAAGCGCACATGACGTAAAGTAAGTTTACTTTCGCTTTTGCTCTCGTGGATAGGGAAACCTTCCCGCACAGACATCAATTAGCCTATAAATAATTAATTTTGTTTGTTAAGTGCAAAGATTATTTAAAAAATATTTCTAAATTCAGTTCTAATTTTCAGCAAACGAATAAATGAACAATAACAACAAAGTGTGCTCAAAAACCTGAGTTATTTCCAAATACACCTGCTGTGCCCCATATGGTCTAAAACCTGACAGGGTTTGTTTTTAATAAAACAAATATAAATATGGATATAATAAATAATACTGCTAATAATAATAACATTATACAAAAGCAAATTGAATGAACTGAAAAAGCCTCCCGAGATGAAGAAAGTAAGACGGCAGTGGTTTTTAAATTCATGTAGGCTAGAAATTAATGTTTTGTAATATTTTAATCATTTTTATTTTTATCCTACATATATCCTTATTATATCAAATATATATATATATATATATATATATATATATATATATATATATATATATATATATATATATATATATATATATATATATATATATATATATATATATATATATATATATATATATATATATATATATATATATATATATATATATATATATATATATATATATATATATATATATATATATATATATATATATATATATATATATATATATATATATATATATATATATATATATATATATATATATATATATATATATATATATATATATATATATATATATATATATATATATATATATATATATATATATATATATATATATATATATATATATATATATATATATATATAT